TCAACACAAATCAGATTACACATTCACTGAAAAAAGAAATGATTCATTGGATTTACTATATTTTACTTACAAGGTTGCAAACAATTATATGGGCTGAATTTAAACAAATTAAATTAAGCAACGTTAACTAATTGTATTTGTTTATATTCAGCCCACGTACAGTTGAAGTCAAAGTTATTCGTCCCCCTGTAAATATTTCCCAAATGAAGCTCAGCAGATTCAGGAATTGTTCACAGCATTTCCTAAAATATTTTTTCTTCTGAAGAAAGTCTTATTTGTTTTATTTCGGCTAGAATAAAAGCAGTTTTTACTGTTTTAAAACCATTTTAAAGTCAATATTATCAGCCCATCCCCTAGCCCTTTAACTGCCTGCTCTACGAAATGGTTGACCATGTTTTGACTGTTAAGGTCATTTGAAGAATGGTTTACACACTCAGCATTGTTGGTTTACAAAAAAAAAAATCAAACAAACATAAAGCTGGATTAATACTTTCGCCTGGCGCCTCATCGCGCACCTCCGCTGACTGTGCGCACACCACACGAAACAGACGAGGCTTTTATACTTGACGCGTTCGCCGTTGTGATATTCTTTAAAACGACAGGGGGTGTTCAAAAGAAACTGACCATAAAGTCAGACGGATGAACGGAGAAGTAGAAAGTTGAATTTTTTCATTAATATTGTTCATTTTTTTTAAATTTATCGTTTTTCAAAATTATTTTAATGATTATTAACATTTTTAACCATTCAAGATTTTTTTTTAAATCAAACTTTGATGCATCACTTGCCTTTGTTGATATCTCAGACAGTTTTACCTAAGTTAAGTTTATTAAAATATTAATGACAACAGAACATGAGTTGCTCTACAAATATATTTTTATTATGGCAAGAATAAAAGCAAAAAGAGTGCACTTACTAAAAAAATACAGATGTTTTTGTTTTAGATTTAGGCCACTCCACAATTCACATATTACTGGCTGGCTAGGGTTTTATACTTAAGCTAAAAAGGCAATATTGGTCCAACATTCCTGACCATTATCACCAGTAAAGCCTAAAAAAACAGGCATTAGTATATTGTAAACCCATAGGTTCAAATATTCCTTTCCAGTTATCAAAGAAATAATTTGCCCCTTAATTATAGTTTTGTAACTATCAAATTGTTTTAAATTCAAAACTCTAACATATACATCAGTGTAAAACCTATGAATGGTGTAAAAGCAAATTCTGTAATTGTGCATCTGGGTCTCCACTTTTGCCATGGCCTCTTTTAGCTTTAACAAACTCGTCTCTCAGGTTTTTCCAAACCTTTCAACACAAACTTTTCCTCCTGTTGCGATTTCTAGCCAAGAATTATTGGTCACCTGGTTATCTCTATGATCGCGGATCATAAAAATCTCTGTACAGGTATACCTGTTTCAGACAAAACCTCTTCAAAGTGGTTCACAGTCAACTCAAATAAAACACGGTGCCGTTTGCACTGTTCGTTCAAGTCTCACAAAGACTCCTGCGCTCCGCTGGCCAAAAATCATACTGCGCGCACCCAAAGCGAACCTCCGCAAATCCCGCGATGATGTCACATTTTCCGTGCGCACTCAAGCGAACTAGCGGACGCGTCAAGTATAAACCAGGCTTAATCCTACTGCACAACTACTCTTGATTTTGGTTTTAATGTAAAAAAAAAAAAAAGGAAACGTATTAAAACAGAATACAAAATATGTTATGGCAAACTGAATGATTTAGTATTCATGAATGTTTTATTTTGATTATGCTTTTAAATAAATTGGACCTACACTTTATATTTTCAGATTTTTTCATAGTATATATATATTAATTCTGGTACTTTTACCATAAACTGACATATCAACAACTTGGTAGAGGCTGATATTTTAGAAATTATGGGATGTGTTGAAAACAAATGCATTGAGTGTGTAAACAAGCGACATTAGGAGATAAGAAATGCAATCCAACAATGTTTTCTTGGTGGGGCAGTTAAAGGGTTAAGCAATACTTGTTTTGGATTGTCTCCGGAACAAACCACTGTTATACAATGACTTGCCTAATTACCCTAACTTTACCCTAATTAAGCCTTTAAATGTCACTTTAAGCTGAATACTAGTATCCTGAAAAATCTCTGGTCAAATATTATGTACAGAGATAAAATGAATCAGCTATTAGAAATGAGTTATTAAAGCTGTTATGTTTAGAAATGTGTTGAATACATATTTACACAATTCACAGGGGGCTAATAATTCAGGAGGACTTCAGACTTCGACTGTATAAATTGTTTCACAACCACTTACCTTAAATATTATTTTTGTAAACCCAATGAATTCTTTTTTCAGTGTTTAGACTAGTAATTAACTCTCCGAGATGCATCGTCAGGCCGTTTCTTCTTCTGCAGTTTGTTACGGGAAGGCAGACGAAGGACGAAAGAAGGCAAGAAAAGTCTTTGTGTTTTTGATTTCTAACAGCAGAGCCGGCTTTGATGGTGTGATGTCTCTTTGATGTGACACTCTGACTCCGCCCCCATCCTCCCAGCAGCCAATCAGCAGAGAGCTGCCGCCGTGATTGGTTAATCGGGTGATAATCTGCGATTCTTCTCTGCGCGGCTAATCGAAGGAGCACTTAAATATGGGTGAAAGATGATGGAAAGCTCTGGGTTATAAGAGCAGATAGAGCGAGATGCAGAGCAGCAGGAGCGCCAGCAGGGGGCGCGACGTCTGGTGCCGCAGGCCTGAAGTCGACACGTCGCTCCGGGATGGTTCAGCCTCATGACTCGTGTCGTCTGAAATTTAGGAGAAACAAACAACACAAAAATAAATGAAATAAATTTATATTATGTTACATATTATGGGTTGTTACAGTCATCTTTAACACCATAATGTTCAATTGTTTAAAAACACTGCAAAAATACGATGAAATTAGTATTTATTTGCTTGATCAAACAATAAACAATGTATTTATTAGTTTTCATTCATCTTTGTTAAAGAATATAGTCAGTCATTGTTAGTTCACGTTGACTCACAGTGCATAAAGTAATATTAATGATGCATTAGTAAGTCTCATTAACAAATGCTGTACTATTATTGTTTATTCTTAGTTCATGTTGGTAAACACTTTAACATTAAAAAAATGGAGACGTATAGTTTGTTAGTAATCACATCACTGCATGAAATTCAGATGGAAGAAAAAATAAAATAAAAAATAAACAACATTAAAATGCAAATAAAACACCTTAAACATTAAGAACGCATTTCGATTTGCATATACTTCACAACACACCAATAAGAAAATATACTATAGTACTTTAGAATAAATTCTAGTGTTTTTGGACCAGACTATGGTAAAGTCCTTGAAATAATCTGTTGTGGCGATTCTACAGTTGTTTTGGTAACACAACACTATAGTAATAAATCTGTTGTGGCAATTCTACAGTTGCTATGGTAAAACAACAACTATAGTAATTTGTTGTGATGATTCTACTGTTGCTATGGCAGCAAAAACTATAGTAATTAATCTGTTGTGGGGATTATACAGTTACTATGGTAACACAAGAACAATGGTAATATGTTGTGGTGATTCTACTGTTTCTATGGTAACACAACAACTATAGTAAATAATCTGCTCTGGTTATTCTACAGTTGCTATGGTAACAACAACTATAGCAATTAATCTGCTGTTGTGATTCAACAGTTGCTATGGTAATGCAAGAACAATAGTAATTTGTTGTTGTGATTCTACAGTTGGTATGGCAACGCAACAACTATAGTAATTAATTTGCTCTGGTTATTCTACAGTTGCTATGGTAGCATAACTATAGTAATTTGTTGTGGTGATTCTACAGTCGCTAAGGTAACAACTATAGTAATTAATTAATTAATCTGCTATGGTGCTTCTACAGTTGCTATGGAAACAACAACTTTAGTAATTATTATGCTGTGGTTATTCTACAGATGCTATGGTAACACAACAACAATAGTAATTTGTTGTGGTGATTCTACTGTTGCTATGGCAACGCAACAACTATAGTAATTTATCTGCTGTGGTTATTCTACAGTTGCTATGGTAACACAACAACAAAAATAATCTGTTGTGGTGATTCTACAGTTGCTATGGTAACGCAACACTTATAATAATTAATCTGCTGTGGTTATTCTACAGTTGCTATGGTAACAACAACTACAGTAATTTGTTGTGGTAATTCTGCAGTTGCTATGGTAACACAACAGCTATAGTAATTTGTTGTGATTCTACTGTTGCTATAGCAACAACAACTATAGTAATACATCTGTTGTGGTGATTCTACAGTTGCTATGGTATTAAAAACTATAATAATTAACCTGTTGTGGGGATTCTACAGTTGCTATGGTAACACAGCAACTATAGTAATTTAACCAAATGACCCAACGCTAGTTTTAAAAATAAGAAGTGCATAAAAATGAAGATATTGTCTCTCTAAAGAAAGATTCGGCTCTGAATCTGAAATATCTGAATTTTTTTTTTTAATCTTTTGCCTGCTACTGATCTATATTAACACAATCAAATTTATTAATTTGCATAATATCCACCTCCCAAACCACACGAACACTCTGAAATGGGTGCTTTTTTTTCTTTTTGATATGGAAAGAAATCAATCAAAACAGACTTGTCCAGCTGACCTATCAGAGCAGTGTTGGCTCATAGAAAGGGGAGGGGCTTACATACCATGATTCAATTGAATTACATCAGAATGACTCTAATAGTAAATGCCTGTTCTGAGAAAAGTATCAAAGTTTTCTGACCTTGAATGCATTTAAACCTGTTGTAGGAGACTCCAGCACAATTTAATATATTATATGAGGCGCTCTTTATTAGTCGACAGTCTGGCTTCCAGACTCTCTGTCCTGAATTTGAAAGCAGCTTCAATGTTTGATCGCGACACCATGAAAGTCAAAGCCAGCAAAGGAAAGCAAAGCCAACAAACATGACAAGCCGACACTCCTGCATATGTTAATAAGAGCCATGTGTTCAGATGTAATGGCTTTTGTCAAGGAGAAGCCGAAATGAGCTCCATGTGACACCTTACAAAGCCAATCACTAATCTGGCACAAAACCATCAGGCAGATCCAAGCTATGCATCTTAATTTCTCCCACAGCCAACATGCATGCGCATTCTGATGCAAAGTGTACATATAATTCATGCATTTGGAACTGTACCATGTTTCAAAGATGTGAATGTATGCGCAAAACTAGCATATTGCATAAAAGATTTGTGAATAAATCAGTGTGTCCATTTAATGAGGAACAAAATGGTCACTTTTTGATGAACCTATACAAAAATTAAACAGAGAAATGTAGTTTCATGTGTTGGGTGGAGCCACTGTGGTGTTATTTTCTTCTCTAATAAATGAAATGAATGCAACGCAGTAGCTTTTGAAGGTGTGAGACAGAAGTCGCATTAGACTTTGTCATTGTTCGTCATTTTGAGAGGGTTGTAAAAATTCCGCCATAACCTATTATTGAAATTAATAAATTTGCATATTTTCTAATTGCTTTTTTCATTCATATTTTAATAATGAACTTGCAAGACCAGCATAAAGGCTAAACTATTCATTTATTTATTTGACAAATTAACAAAAACTCCTATCTGCCTTACCTCATATCTTCCTCCTGCGTCGACCTGAAACTGGGTGCTTTCCTGTGCGTAATCTAACGCATCAAGAGAGACTGATGCAGAGGCAGCTGTCATTAAATTCTGTGTCTTTGTCTCGGAAAGTCGACTTCTCGTCACAGTTTTAAATTTGTTCTGGAGGCTGAAGCCGTGTTCTGCTGCCACACTGGAGAGTCATTGCCAGAAGCGGCTCGGACTCGACAGACAGACTCGGGTCAGATATGGTTAACAGGAATCGGGCCAGTGCTTTACAGCCACATCACAAACGCATGTGCGGGAGCGAGCTGCGGGCCATGCTCGGCCCGGATAACACTCGCCGATGCCGAGTCGGAGGCGCCGAAGGGCAGCCGAGCTCCGACCGATACCTTCCTAATTAATAATCTGGGTAGCGCCTCTTCAGCAGCGTTTTGTGGTTAGGAAACATTTCTCCTAAGGAAGTGATCAGAAGTTTGCTGGATTTTCTGAATGTGGGATTTCGCGGTCTTGCAAGCACTCGTTTCAAAAAATACTGCAGCACGCGCTCGTTCAGCGAGATATATCCAGCTGCAGGCCCGCAGAACCACACACGTATTAGGCACACACAATCTAGGACACACAATCTTGGCAAACCATATAAAGACGGATGTTAATGTTATTAACGTCTTTTTGAACATCGTCATCGATATATTTTGATATATATGATTAATAAATATTGTACACAATTAACAATAGTGTTTACTTTATTTCACAAATATTGCGATCAAGACGGCCGAATGGGGAGCATTGTTTCCGATCGCCATTCATATATATAATAGACTGAACAGTTTTTAATCAGTCATTATAGCTGATCAGTCATTATTATCTGACAATAATATGGCAGATACTCGTTTGCTGGCCTTGCTGAATGATCTCATTTGGACAGGTTTAATTTATATAATGGATTAATTTATGATGAGGAAATAAGTTAATATAGGCAGAATACATTACATGTAATAAAAATCTTTTTACATGAAACAAATGTGTAACACTATATTGATATTTACTCAAGCTATTTAATAGTGTTTATTCGCTTAATTTTCTAATAACCTTTTAATTAATGATTTCCCACACTAATAATAGTGTAGTAATTTATTGCTTACTATAAATTACTACACTATTAAGTGTGTATATATATATATATAACAGCTGTGACAGTTTAGTAAAAGATAGTAGTTTATGTATAAACTTATAATTATAATCAGTTAAGATAATCAGTTTATAACTATGTATATTGTTTAAATGATTAACTATAGTAGCCTAATTTATTTTAAAGTGACATATTATTGTTTGCTTTTTATATTTTACAACAAAGTGATTTTAACCAAGTATGATAATATTAAGATCTTGAATTAGTTTATTACACTTTATCCAACAATTAGACGGTCTATAATGCTTTCTTTGTTTATGTAAACACATGAATAAAGTCAGAAGTGTATTTAACCAATAATTTTTATTTACATAATTTGAGTTCAGAAACTGCAGAGATGTTAAAATGATCGTTATGACATAATAATAATAATAATAATAATAATAATAATAATAATAATGACTGAAATGGGAAACCATACTTGTGAAATTCAATAGGTGGCAATAATGCTAGTTACCAAATATGGTTTGCCTAAATCGTGTGTGCCTAAAACGTGTGTGGTTCTGCGGGCCTGCAGGTGGATATTATTGCCTTCGGCACCAGGGGCGTGGCTTCACCCCTTTGCGTTCGGTAGTGCATGGTGCTCATAACGCACTCCAAACCACCTGACCTCCTTGTTGCCGCTGGCCCGTAACAACAGCTGTCGGCGACTGAGGATTTTTTCTGTTTGTTCTTCATCGTCCACTGCATCACTTCCTCTTTTTTTTCATTTTATTATCAATATCACAACTATTTGGCCGTTTAAAGACACTTCTAACATTCAGCTGCTGTGAGATTTTTGCAACTGTATGCAGCGGTGACGAGAGGAGACAAAACAAGGGCAGTCGCCATCAGCTGGACAGGAGTGGTAATTACAGCTACAAACTACAGTAGATTACCCTCAGCTTAATCCGTCAAAATGACCGATCACCTTCAGATTTTTCCGTCACTGCTGATGAAAATCCATCAATGACGAAAAATATTCAGTTAA